AGTTTCATCGGAACGAAGTTACGGAAAGTTAATTAACAAACGGAGACGTAACAATATTGAAGTGATGTGGCATTTTCTACTTATTTTTAATGCTTCAAGGAATGAGAAATATGTTATAAAAAACATTACATTGTTTACATTAACTTCGTTAGAGACTGGACACAGTAACTTACTGGTAGTATTAAGTAATTTAATGGATGTTATAGGCAGTCCAATGGAAGAACAGTTACCTGCTCAGATTGATGAATTTAATAGTTTTAACAGAGTTAACTTTTCAAGATACCTTCGGTAATTTCGACATAGCCGAATATTTTAATATATTGTATTGGTGTTGTTTGTGTTTAAATCTCAGAGTCAATTCTTTAGTCTAACTGTAAATTCCTTGAGTTGGTGACTTGTGTGCTCCACTCGCGACTGTAACCTGATTATGTCGAACTTCAAAGACTAGCCTACATGGCATCCTGGCCTTTTACAATACGTGTAAAATTTTAGAGCCACAAATGACTAAAGCAGCTTGAACAATACCGAGCCCCCATGTAGCAGTGATGTGTTAAAAGTTCTAAATGAAGTACTAACAACAAATTTTCACCATTTACAATTCCCCAAGTATACTTCAACTGCTCCCAATTTCAGTTTAACAATTGATACAGCCGTATGTCTTTATACCAAGTACTGTTATTTGTTCAGAGGTAAAAACTCCTCTAGCATGAAACCAAATTTTTATTGGACATACTATTTCAATTTGCCAATAGGACAAGTCATCTTACACCCGAGTAGCTCGTGAATATACATCACAAACATTATCATGTCAACAAAGCAAAAATTCATAATTATATTGTTACCTAGACCACTCATTGTTGCACACTTCAACACTTCATGGTTTTTCCCCACACAATTGCATTCCATTATTTTCAAATATTTTCTCACTTTACTGCTGCAATTCCATACAGAGAACTTTTGAAAGTGCAGAAAGCCTTGTGGGTCAATAAAATATTTATATTTTAAAATGGTGTTCAGCCTGCAAGTTTTATTGTCTTCAAATTTTTACATGTTCTACAGTAATTCTTGTATGCTGATTCCGAAAATGATAATCATTTTTCGCCATCACGTAGATTTTTCACAAAATGTCATAATGCAATACATAAAAGAAAGTGCACAACACGTAGTTTTGAGACTAAAAGGCGTAGATTTCACACACACACACACACACACAAAATTAGATTGAATGAGGATACATATTCGTTTGACATCAATGCTCTTCCTTTTCTTCAGTTTGTTTGTATTTTGTTAACAAACATAATAATGAAAAGTGATAATTGTGGTAAACGAAATAATATTTTGATCTAAGTAACAGTTTTTTTCTCCCAGTTTGTAAAAAATCTTTACGTGATAGAAAAAATGAATATTATTTTCGAAATCTGCGTACCTGAATTATGAAAAATCCATTATCAATACCAAAACAACTTTTATGAAATTTAAATTTGCAGGACTGTGTGATTGTTCTGCATAATATAATTTTTTTTCAAAGGTGTTGTCATGTGTATCAGATATTACAAGGTGTGATAATTACAAATAAAATCATGAACTAGTTTAAGAATTTTATTTTAGATCTGAAAGAAAAAAGAACACACAAAAGAAAATAGTATTGATAACATACATCACAATAAAATGTATACAGTCCTGATTTTCCTGTAACAGCAGAAGATAGCATGAAATATTTAATAATGTGACTCAAAATGTCAAATATCTCAGCCTAGTCACTGCATAAATAATAGGTGACCTAATCAGTTATAAGCTGACAGGCTGTCTTTCCTGGCAAATATTTGACTATTTCATGCACAGCTGTTAGACTTGTGAAACTCATTCTATTATAACTGTTGCCATTTAGGTTTATTTCTCTCTCTTTCTCATTAATAAATTTTAAGCAATAACTGATAAGCTTAGGCTAGAAATGGGAATACGTAGACATATTAGAACATTTGTAATGATATACACCTGAAATAATTTGAAAATATATCAAAATTCAAGTTTATTCACTATGCTTCAATCTTGATTAGGAGCACACTCCTGCAGTGCCCCCCCCCCTAAAACTTAAATACCTCTAATATAATATACTACTTGAATATCTGTTTTTTGCTAAATATTGTGTGGAAATGGTGTTTTTCTTCATCTCAGTAAAAATAAATATGTATACTGTGCCATCTTACTAGGCAAAGTTCAAAGTATCTGCCATCCGAAAACATTTAAAATTGAATTTATAACCAAATTCCAGCAGTTTCTGCTTACAGTGTATTTGTTGTTATTGAACTCTGAGCAGCTAATGGAATTTTTTAATCTATTTATAGCTTAGTTAGAAAACTAGTTAAATTATAGTAGTTTTTGGACATTTCTATTCTAGTGCATGATGTATTTTTATGATATAAAATGCATATTTGAAAACTATTTGAATTTGAAGAACCAACTTTGTGAAAAAATAAATAAAAAATAAGTATGGCCTAATACAGTAGTTTTCACCTGCAAAGGTCACACTCTTTGCTCATGATGTTTACCATATGTGACTTATGATCTTCAGTGTGATTTATTTCCATGGGTGGAAGAATTAATGCATCATTTGTTACAAAGTAAGCAATAAAATGAAACAAAACAGATGCGAAAGATTACCAACAATCAAACAAAATGAATCATCTAAAAAAGAAAAAAGGCATGTTCAGTTTATTTCGTATTTTCCAAATTGAAATTTCATTGTACATGATGATTTTGATAGAGTTAGTGTTAGAGTAGAGAAAAATAACAGATAAAGTTTTACCAAAACAAGTTGATATTCATTTAGGATTTCTAGCAGTTATGAAAATGAAATATGAAACCTGTAAGATAAAATAAAAACAGTATTTGTATTCGTAACATGAATATCACCTTACACTCAGAATAGTCAAGAGTCTGTGTCACTAAAGTCTTTATAAATTCACAGAAAAATCTGTAGCAGAAATACTTTACTAAAAATCTGATTTTTTGTGTACAAGACTTTTAATGTTTACTAAAACTTGCCATATTTAGTGAAAATTCATATAGTAAATTCAGAATTATAATAAGTAATACTATGTTTAAACTTTCTAGAAATGGGGTTGGTCCAAAGGGGCAATGCAATGTAATAGTGAGGTATGGTTGGTCACACTTGTCAGGCAGAGTTGAGTCATCACATCACTAACTGAGAATATGTAACATGCAAATCTCCCTCCCTTAAAACTGGTAGTTTTTAGAAACAATAATTTTCTTGTGAAGATGCCATACAAAATCCTATGGTATGTTATTTGGGAGTGTAGAAAAAAAGGGGGGAGGGGCTATTTGTTTTCTATGAATATTACATTATTTTCAAGTTTTTTAACCTGATATATATATTTTTATATTTTAAGAATTAATGTAAGCTTCACCAAAAACTTGATTCACAATTAAGTCTTTGTAGGAATGAATTAAAAATCAATGAGTACATCTGAAGCAACCATCAGACTTTTCTAGATAGATCCACATGTGAAATGTGCTGCTAAAATACACATCTTGACTCAGTCAGAACAATTCGGGCTTGCTTCGTACTTCTTACCAAGGTTTCGTGCCATGAACTTCCAGTACTCTGCTCGGATCTTATCATGTTGTATAGCTAATGCATTACAAATCTACAGAAATTAAAGTAAGGCTTTCATTAGCTAATTTACAAAATTCATAACATAATAAAAATGTATTATATAAACATTTTGTTTACAGTAAATCAATTTGAACTGTAACAGACAATAAAGGCTATTTAAAAATAGCTTTACATTTCATCAAAGCTGATGAAATCTACTAAATAAAACTTAGTAACTAATAATTTTAAACATTATACAATTCCTAAAAACTGATATCAAAAGCAACAAGTGCACATCGGTACAGAAGTTAAATGTCAAACACTACTTAATAGGAATAAACTATGCAAAGTGAAAAGTCAGATACCACATAAAAGTGTAAAGTCCTACACTACTAACAAGTGTTTTTTTTTAATCTGCAACACAAAACCAAACTTACTTCAAAAGTAAATGAACCAAAAATTCAAATAAGATATAAAGCCATTAATCTTCTAATCAGAATAGCTGAAAATCAAAATTCATTTCCAAGGTTTCGACGTAGTAAGCTGAGAAAGGTCCCTTTCACATATCACAGGAACAATTTAAGATAATTGCATAAAACATTTAATTTTAGGAAAAGCTATTTTTTACAGAAAATTACCAAACTCTTATATTTAGTATCAATGTAAGCAAATGCACTTATAAAGTTTACATGTACCATATATTCATCTTAACAAAATCTATAAAACATGCAGGAAAGAGAATGGTTGAGGCTAAAAAATTACTCTCCAAAATTTCTGGTTCAAACAACTACCAGCAACTAATATATACATAGATGTATACAGCTTTTGTTATTAAACAATTTTTAAAATTAATGATTAAAAGTGTTAAACATACTGTGAACATGTGAGCATTCAAGCAGAGGTCTTTAACTTTGTTAGAGATACAATTAATAGCAAATGTTGTTCCACACAAATCATGGAAGACAGGTAAAATAATGGATCAAATACACTAAAAATACACTGTTATAGTTCAGATTTGACATTAGTAGATTCTAATGACTCATGTTAACTAACATACAATAAATCTTTGTCTCATATGATCGTTAAGCTATTCACGATGTGAGGTGTCCTTTCATATATTATTTTTTATTTCACATAAAATTTATACCATTTATTAAAAAGAGGGAACAAATGCTTACCTCTCTACATAAGGTATGGTTAACCATAATTATGAAAAAAGTGGATAGCTAGCTATGATTTTACCAAAATAGTAAACAACAAGTAGCTGTCAATTAACATAGAATTTTGAGTCCACTTTTAAGCCAACTTACATAAACTGCAGTACCTTTATTTTCATGGATGTTACACCTTATGAATCTTCATGAAAATTCAAAACTCTTAAACATTGAAAATGGTCCAAAAAAAAACCCTCTAGTACCCTGATACTGTACTACAAAAATCCATTATCATAACTTCTTTCATATCACTTTAAACACAAGGAAAGCTTTAAATTCTGTTTTTTCTTTACCTAATATAATGAAAGACTCAATTCAATCATCTAACTGGACTTCACACAAACATTTTCATAAACCGAAACTTCCTTCATTTTTAGATTTTCATACAATCTTTCTGAAAATACATGTTCATTGAACAATAAGATATCTAATCTTGAAGTTGTGAATATATGGAAAGACAATCTCTATCTGTTCTAAATGGCTGACTACCTATGACTTGTATTTAATAATTACCTTATATGCTTGAATAATAAGAAAGTACTATCAAATCTTAAAAAAGATAAATAATGTTTATAAATCTATGTTTTCTGTCTGTTTTAAAAGCCAACTGATTCCAACTTTTATCAATTTCCAGTTGTGCTTCAGTTTGCTCTGAATGGCTACTTATCGCTAATTTGTATTAATTTTCTAACATATTTTTTGTCTGTTCTGCATAACTCTCTGTTTCCATTTCGTATTAATTACCTCACACTTACTTTCCAAGAACGTTAAGTTTTTCTAATACTTTGAATGTCTCAAGATAACACTTTTTGTGCTCTAATTTTGTTTTAATAAATATATTATATATATATAATTCATTTTATGATGAAAATATATCAAGAACAAACTAATTTTTCTGCATTCCAAGAACATATAAGTAAAAACAAAGAATATTCTATAATATGTCAACTACACTACATCTGCAATATCCAATCTCAATGATGGCTTTTTCCCAATCTCAGCTCATCAGGCCAGCTGAGATATTACAGACAGTCACTTTTTACATCATCAGCTTCCATGAACAACAAATGTTATGTAGTGAACTAGTTTAAGTAAAAGACTTGTATGTATTATCAGTTTTATTTTAAACATCTAGAAATCAGACATTTAGGGTAAGAATTAATAACACAATAATATTTATGTTGCTTCAGTCAAAATGAAAACACCTCAAGTTCATATGAACAAAAACAAAGAAAAGGATCAAATATATATTTGTAAGTTTGGTAATAACAAATATAAAAAACAAACAACATAGATACCTCAATGGCTCTTTGAACTGATAAAAGATTATCAGAGCTTTCTTCCCCCTTAGCCTCCAAATAGTCCACCATGAATGCCAAAAGATAAGGTGATCTGCATCCTTCAGAGTAAAGTTCTTCACAAAATTCCCAAATGAAAGGATATTTGGTCAAGCCTCTCTCTTCCAAAATACTACAGGAAGAAGTTATAATTTTCCTATACTGAAAACGTATTTCCGATAGGTACTTACCTTTTCTCACATAAATAGCTATTCTTGTTCAGTGCTGCCTTCTACATAAAAATTTTTTTTAATGCCACAAGCCTTGAACTCCCACATACCGAAAAATCAACTTGATTCAACTGTGTCTTGCATGCAAATCATCATGCAATCACTCTCCACCAATAGGAGTGCAACACACCCTCCTGGTGCATGTGACTCCCTCTATTCGATTCTACCCAAACTCAGCCACTGGGAACCGACATCCATGTGGGGGTAGGATGAGGGATCCCAGTCAAAGGGGTGAACTGCAATTTTGACTGATCACTCCAAAGCTATAACATCCCCATGGATAAACCCATACAGAGATGGAGCATCAGACTGGAGCACAATTTGTCATCTATACCAGCAGAATGATACCATCAACTGAATGGTTTTATCATTATTTGTATCGTATATCATTATCACATTCAGAAGGATACCTCCATGGTCCACCACCCCAGCGACTTGGAACTAAAAAGTGGTAAGGACTCTCATACTCCACAGGAAGAAAAAGGAGGGAGAAAATGCAGTGGAGAGTCTGAAGGAACATCAACACACAGAGACAGTGCAATGGAAGAACATGAAAACCCCATTTTGAAAAGCAGATCACTCCTGATTTACTCAAACTAGTTAGTACGGTCCGGAACGGGCATATGAATGAAGCAGATATATTAAGAGGAAAACCTACAAGCGATCTTGTGGAACACACTATCTAAACAGTATGTGTTTTGTGGCCATGGAAATTATAATTGTTAAGTCATTATGGCCTTACAGTGTGGATGTGACTAATTCAAATGTACCTGGACAGGTACTACTCACCACAAAGCAGGATCCATAAAGTAAAAAAAAAAGAAAAAAAAGGAACATCCCCCTGAAAAATAAAGATGTGTATATATATATATATATATATATATATATA